CCTCACTGTTATCACCATAGAAGCCGTGGTAGCCGTAGTAATGACTGTGGTTGCCGTACTGGTAACGGAGTTTGTTCTTTTTCATCTTCACTGGTTGCTGATTGGACGACTGAGATCCTACACACCTGTAGGTGGCAGCACATAGGTTAATACACAGCTCATCCAACCATGTAATGTAGTTCCTGCATGGAATTCACCTTCCGGCCTTTTCTTCTCCCATTAATGGCGTCTGGAACTTTGTTGTTTGATTGACAGGTGCAGATGGGACAGTGGCTACAGCAGCATCTGTAAGTCTGGAGGAGGTGGTGCGCCGCCGCCTACGTTGACGATTCTCCCCGTGGCTGACAGATTTGTGGATGTGGCCAGGTGGCGGATGAGTGTTTCTCCGTGGAAGTACAGGGGGCGGGGCTACATCATCTCGACACGTGATGGCTGTGTTAAGTTCGCAGGGAAGAGGAGATGCGGCAACACTGCCCTCTCTGGTTAACAGAGGAACTGCAAGTATATATTTTATTTCAAAATTAAGTCATGTGCATTCAGAAACCTAAATCTATTTTACAATCTAGGTCAACATTGCCTTAAAATAAAGCTTGCATCATGTGACCCTTGCCTTTTAGCCCAGTGCTGGAACTTCTACCACAAGAATCACATTTATTATTATCCTCAATTGCATTAGACTCTTGTGGTACAATGACAAAGACTATTCTATTATTATTCCCTAAAGTGAAGCAGAAACTTCATAGTCCAACATCAGTGAAGAAAAATGTGACTGTGTATATTTGGCCACACAAACTTCTCTAGTGTCATGAAAACGGGGGCCACATTCTTTTGTCACGGTGTTCTGCCTAACTTAGGGGTCACATCCTCAGTTGTGAAGTTACACTGACCTGAAAATGGCGCTGTGGAGGTAAACAGTCGAGCAGGAATCACCTCCTTTTCCCCTTCACCTCCCCGGTGTCTGTTCCTATGTCTCCTCCTGGACTTCAGGGGGGACAGCAGGACACCACCTTCCTCCTCTCCATCTCCACTGCCCCCCTTCAGGTTCAGGGGATCAGTGATGTCACGTGGTACCAGAATCTCAACAGGGTCTCTGCACCGTGATGGCAGAGGTGAGCACTTGGGTGTCTCCTGATTGGTCGATCTGAGAAAGAAGAAGGGAGATATTTTCTTTCTTTAAAAGAACAGTTTGATTTTGAAAAGTTTTATTGTTTCATCCGGTTCCAACATCTGTTTAAAAATGTTTTATCAAGTTTTACCACAGATCCCCAACAATTTGTCATGTTGTTTCACAGACCTGATAAATACTGTCATGTTTGTGATCTTCACATGTAACATTCTAATACAAATCAAGATACTCAGATAAGCAGTGGTAAATCAATTAAAGATAATCAATCAATGGGTCTTTGATGGCCACCATCTCACCTGCTGACTTCTTCATTCAGTAGCGAGTTGAGGTTCAGCGGGTCAAAGATGTTTCCGCCAAGCAAGAAGTGACTCGGGAGCACAGGGTCCGCCTGGCTTTCACTGTGGGTGCGTCGGCGACGCTTGGCCAACCCTTTGAAACCAACACCAACAGTGTAGCGCCTCTTTCCAATTCGTTGGAGGGGAGGAGGAGAGCTGGAGGGTGGGGGCTGGCCGTTGTTGGGCTGCTGCAGGCCAAATTTAGGATACAGGGGTTGAACTTTAGTCAGCTGTGGCTGCTGGGGTAAAGGCAAGCTGCCAGCAGTGAAGGAGGGGCTGAGTCTGAGAGGTCCCTCATGAGTGACAACAGTGTCTTTATCTAATGACATCATTGTTGAGCACTTAAAGCCGGCCAATCACAGGGTATCCTGAAAACAGAGGGGAGATGGTTTTAAATTGATGAATCTTGGTCAATTGTTTTTTCACTTAATTTTAAAAGCTCAGTCTCTGTTATTGAGTTTGATATTATTTTGGCATTTAACTTTTTTTAATTAAGCTTTTTTATGTGTGCTTTTAATTACTACTGATAACTTTAATAAGACCTATGTTTGTACCTCCTGCTATCAGCAAGCATTAACATCAATGGCAGTTAAAGTACAGCTACTCATGACCGTTAAAATAATTTAAAGCAATCGAAATTTACATCCTAAAACCGTTAAAAAAGTTAATCAATTCAAACTTTTGCCAATGTAGTACTTTTGTAACTTCTTCACATAGAAATCTCACATTACTAAAACGTGATAACCAAAACAGACGAAAGTTGAACTGAACTTAGTAATACATTACACTTAGTAATACCGTCAAGGCCGCTGCCAATTGCAGCTGAATCATTTATCGATCATTAAAACAATAAATATACTCACTGTCTTGTCGCTCACTTGTTGTCCTTCACTGACCCCGCCCCTCTGTTTACAATATTTTGACACACTCCAAGTGTCTGTGACACAAATAGGTCAGTTTATGTGTGTGTCTGACTCCCCCATAACCCTCGCCAAAACACGTCCTAACCCCTCCCCTTATGCTTACTCCGCCAATCCTGGAGTGCTGTCAAGAGCAATTCACGCATACCGTATGAAAGAAGCAAGTAAACTGTTAGCCGCTAAAGTTAGCCACAACGGGTGGACATGCAGGAAGCAACTAGCACCAAGCTAACGCACGGAACACACAAAACTGTAAAGACTAACAGACGAACCCGAGTAAACTGCGCAACTCGCGTCCAAGCAAACCCACGTCGTGTCTAAGCACGAACATGCGTGCGTACTTTGGTTAACGTGTTTGCGTGTGCAAAAAAAGTTTGACACAAAGTAAAATTCTTGGATATGTTTGCAACTACCTAAGACTAAGTTGTGAGCTTCCTTGAACTAGGCCCACCATTTATATATGCGGTTGGCGTGTAACCAAGTGACTGACTGCACGGTCAACATATCATGTGCGGAGAACAGCTCCAGCATGTCCCACGTGACGGCCAATGACAACGCCGACACGCGTTGATTGGACAAGGGCTCAGGAAAGCGGGGCAAAGGGCCCTAAAGCTGCGGTGCCCTAAGCGATGCCTGGAAAGAAATAGCAACAACAAACATATAATTTCTATCAATTAAGAGCGAAAGAACCAACACATTAAAAAATAAATAAATGAAAACATAAAACAATTTAAACAAACAGTGTTGATACATCATAACTGACATTTAACTTATTATTATATTATTCTAGAACTCATCCATGCAAAGAAAGCCATATCTACCTATTCAACATGTCACTCAACCAATCATATAATAATGTATATAACATTATGTATCATTTAGGACTGGGCAACTTGACACGTTATTATGGCATCAACCTATTAATTGATTAACGCCAACAATTATTTTCCCAGGTGTTAACACAGTTAACACAAATTATTTCTAATTATTTATTTATTAGTCTGTGGCTGTGTCCGAACCTTCCCCCTACATCCTACATAGTGCACTACATACGAGGCACACTATTTTGTAGTGGTAAAAAAATGGTTCCTGAGTAGAAGTTGTCCACTATATAGGGCACTCAATGTATCCCACAATGCATGGTGGGATTTTGTGTACATCCAATGCATACTAGCCAAGCAAAAATATCCCATCATGCATCGCAGTCATGACGACATAGCAGAGAGAGCAGCAGCTTGTTATTTGTGCGACAGTAATGATAAAATAACTGCATGCTGGAGTAGTGTCCAAAACAATTTTTCATTTAATCGGTGAGTCCACTATTTGAAAGTGGTGTTTGAGAAGCTTTTGAGAAGTTGGTAGCTCTTGTAGACAAGTACATAATAATGCAGTACACCTGCAACTGATGTCAACTAATAACTGAGCTGGTAGAATCCCTGCTGACGAACACAGTAGGTTGAAGGTCAGCAGAAACGACAGTTGAGTAGTAAAAGCACGTGATTCAAAAATGATTGAAATCTTATGAAAAATAACAATCATGTACTTTATTTGTTCAATGGTGTTGAGAACATCATGGAATACAATGAAATAAAAGACTATACATTTGCATTTGAGAAGAATGTGCAATGGGTCAGATTAGGTCAAACACTCGACGGCAAGAAGGGAGGGCCTCTAGCTGTCCTTTGGATCAAAAGGATTTATTATAAACGCCTTAGCCTCACATATGTAGGATCTATGATTACGACATTGTGAGTCATCCCAATTATATAGACTCATATTCTTTGTGGGGACAAAAACAGCACAGTCCTGCCCATCATTCCCTACATCCCAACTCGTTATCATGTTGTTGGGGTTGCCTTCTGTCCAGTATGAAAACGCAGTGTCTCTGTTGTCAATCCATATAAATTTACCCTCACGTACCGAGTCAATCAACCCAACCCACGATCCTTCATATATTTGGTCACTGAATAGGTATTGGATGTTGTAGTTATTGACAAAACTTACTAAAAAAATTTGTTCTGGAAGATTTCGAACAACAGCAAGATCACTACCTTTACCCAGGCATATGGAACGTGCCTTTTTCCATCTTGTGACGTGTTCTGTGATGTTGTAACATCGCGAGTTAAACTGCTTCCAGCCAACTGGGCAACTTAAACACTGCAGTGTGTCCAAATTACAGAATCTGTCAATGCGCAGCCTGGGAGAATGTAGAATTGTAAGGAGCTTTCGCTTTTCTAAAAGAACCAATGACAGATTTGCCTGGATAGCAGAGATTTTGGCCTTGTGGATTCCAATGGTCTTCTTTAAAGGGGCGGTCAAATTGAGGACATAGTTCATATGCACCTGGAGATATTCAATTTTATGCTGTGCTTGTAGATATGCTTGGTCTAACTTCAAATTGTTTTCTTCACAGTCACGTAAAGTTGACTGGAACAACAGTTCTTTAAGGGACAACTCGTGAGTCATGTTCTCTGCTTGGGTTATGTTGTCTTGAAGAGCTGAGATTTCTGCAGCTAACCTGTCTTTCACTGAAGCCTCCTTGGTCAACTCACCTTCCAGCAAAGTCATATTCACGTGTGTTTCATTCAGCTCTAACCACAGATTCCTTATCTTGTTCTTCTCCTGGTGTTTTTCTGATAAGCAGTCAGTAATATTTGTGAGGAGTAAAGTCTTTTCAATTATTGCAAGTTGATTTCTTTCAACCAACATTGTTCTGTTGGCCTCACAGGAACTAAGATTGGATTTCAGAAGAGCAATTGCTGCAAGGAGATATGTGCTCGAGTTCTGGCCAAGCAGCACATCATTCCTGAGGAGTGGGATATCTGTAAGTAACATTTCCTTCTTCAACATCACGTTTGTCCATTCTTCTATCACCAACGTCACGCTTGTCTTTGTTTGGTTCAGCCTCAATTGTAAGATTCTATTCTGATCCTCCAAATGTTGTTTTTCTGACTGGCAAACGTTAAGGTTTGTGAGGAGAAAACTGTTTTCTGCAGATAGATTTGCACATCTGTTCTGGGAAACAGATATATTTAACAAAAGAACCCGTTTAATTTCTTGGAGCAGTTTCTTTGCCCTCTTTAACAGCAGCCGTATTCTCTCGTCCTCTAACGCTCGTCTCTCTGACTGGCAGGACGTAAGACTTGACTGAAGTAAACGATTTTCTGCCGATATATTTGCCCATGTGACTTGGACAAGGGTTAGATTTGACTTGAGAAGTTGATTCCGTGCCAAAGCAGTTTCCACCTTTGACCTCTGCATCGACAGTTCTTCTTTAAGCACAGTGTTATTTGCCCATGTTTCATTCAGCTTCTGACGTAGATTTCTGTTCTCTTTCTGTCTGTGTTCTTTCTTGGTCTGACAAGAAGTGAGATTTGAGCGGAGAATATACCTTTCTGCATTCAGATTTTCACTGGTGTTCTGTGTTACCGTCAGATTTAACTGGAGAATTTTGTTTGTATGTTCAAGTAGTTGTTTTTCTGTAGACAACGTTTCCGTTGTCAGTCTCTCCCTGGCCAGTTCTTTATGTAACAACGTGTTGTTCACACGTGTTTCATTGAGGTTTGACTTTAACTTGTCATTCCGCTCCTTTTCTTGTGGTATTTCTGCGAGACAGAACGTCAAATTCAGGCGGAGAAAATTATTTTCTGCAGAGAGATTGGCCTGTAGGTGTTGGACAATGGTTAGATTTGTTTGAAGAAGTTGGTTTTCTTCAGAAAGTGTTTTTCTTCTGGACATCTGGCTGTTCAACGCTCTCCTTAGAAAAGTCTTGTTGGTGAGTGTTTCATCCAGCTCCAACTGCATATTTCCCCGCTGATGCTCTTTCAGTTGATTTTCTGACCGACAATGCTGTAAATTTGAGTTTAGTAACTGATTTTCTGCAGACACATTTTCCCTTGTATTTTGAACACGAGTAAGATTGAACTCCAGTAGTTTGTTTGTATTTTCCAGTAGTGGTTTTTCTGCAGATAATGTTTGTGTTTTCAACTTCTCCTTGTCAAACTCCTTCTTCAGCAAAGTGTTGTTTGCATGTGTTTCTTTCAGTTTCAAATGCAGATTTCTGTTCTCAACCTCCTTCACTTGCTGTTCAGAGTGGCATGACGTTAAAATGGATCGGAGAGAAATATTTTCTGACGATAAATGAAACCTTTTGTTCTGAGCCAAAGTTAGGTTTGCTCTGAGCAGGAGGATTTCTTCAAATAGAGTTTCCCTCCTTGAACTCGCGTTTGCTAATTCTCCCCTTAGTAAAGTTGCGTTGACACATGTTTCATTCAGCTTCAACTGTAATTGTTTATTTTCTTCTGCTGTGTGTTGTTTGTTCAACAAACAAGAAGTTAGATTTGTGATGAGAAAACTGGTTTCTACCGATAATGTTTCACTTGTGTTATGGACAAAAGAAAGGTTCAACTGGAGGAGTTGGTTTGTATTTACCAGCAGTTGATTTTTACCAGCCAACCTTTCAACCATCAACTTCTCATGAACCACTTCTTTTCCTAGCAAAGTGTTGTTTGCACAGATTTTGTTTAGCTCGAAGAGTAAATCATCATTTTCAACCTGATACTTCTCTTTCTCCGAACGACAGAGAGTTAGATTTGACTGGAGGAAACTGTTTTCCCTAGCTACTTTTGGACTTGATTCTTGAACAAGGGAAAGATTTGCCTTGAGATGTTGTTTCTCTCCTGACAACTTTTTTCTCGTTATCCTCGCATCTGTCAGTTTTTCGTTGAGCAAAGTGTTGTTCATGCTTGTTTCATACAGCTGTGACCGTACATCTCTATTCTCCTTCTCCCAGTGTTGTGCTTTTGACTGACAGGAAGTGAGATTTGAATAAAGTAAAGCATTTTCTGCAAATAAAATTCCAATTCTGTATGGAATGCGAGTGAGGTTTTCCACAAGGAGGCGGTTTTGATCTTCCAGCATTTGTTTTATTCCAGACAATGTTTTGGCCATCGACCTCTCTTTCTCCAATTCTGTCAATAACAAAGTGTTGTTAGAACAGTGTTCATCCAGCCTCGACTGTAGTTTTTTATTCTCGTCCTCCATCTGTTGCCTCTCTGACTGGCAGTAGGTTAGGTTAGACTGGAGAAGTTTATTTTCAGCGCTCACTTGTTGATAGTCTTCAGCTAACTTTGTACTCTTGTTCTGTACTTGACTTAGTTCCGACTGTAAATGGGTAATTCTATTCTTCATTTGATTCATCTCTAACCCTAACCCTGTAGCCATGCTCTTCAGCTGCTGGTTTTCCAACTGGAGCCGTCCCTTCTCAGCCTCAATTTGTTTCCTGTCCAGGGTGTTCTTTTCGTTCATAAGATTCAGATCTGACCAAAGCCTGTGGTTTTCTTTCTGGAGCTGATACAGTTCTAAACAAGCCAAAGAAAGCATCCCGAGTCCATAGATAGTAAACACAGAACATAGAATAATTGTGCCCAAGATCTTGTTGTTTGTGTTCGGTTTTCCTTCAAGTTGGCCAGCCTCATGTTGCATTACACCTCCTGGATTTAGAAGCTTTCATGATAGTTTGGAAGTATCTATCAGGCAGGAGCTCTCTATATGCAGATGTAGGGTCTTTGTGGAGAAGAGGAATGGTAATGGTTAGTTACAAAACCAGCAATGGACAGTCAATAAAAACAACCTGAACCAGTATGAACTCGTGTTTACTTAGACATTAACTGTGAAACTAGCTAAAGTTGAAAGACTAGTAAAAATAAAAAACAGGCACCACTTTCAAGAGTTTCACAAATATGTGGTGGACACTGTGTACTTTATGGCTGAGAAGCTACATCACTGATGACAGACCTGGACATTCCATAGACGCAGTGGTCGAAAATCTGGTCCCATCTAAGGTATTAAGGTAATGCATTTTTTAAGGTAATGCGAGATCATTTAAAGAATTACAGGCTTATTAGCATGTCCCCCATTTACCTAACAGTACCAAGTTAGGCAACAGGCGAAAGAAACACGTCAATCGTCATGTTGGTCACCGGTCCTTTGATGTCAACACTTTCATATGTCATGTTTTTCCAGTGCCATTGATTGGTTAAAGTGAACTGAATGATCCAGGGGTCTGGAATCCTAATGATGTTTGGTCACTCCTGCCGCCACACCTGGGAACGCTCTGCTCTTCCAGACTTGTTTAAAAGACCAAGGCAAAAAAGTCATACAGCCAACATGGACAGAAAGCCATGCAACCTAATGGTAGAAATAACCATCAGCAGATCTGCTGGACTGATGAGTCCAAAATGAACGTGTCTGGTTGGAGATGTCCAAACTGTAAAGTCCGCTGAAAATTAAAATTCAAAATTGTTTTGAGCCCGAGATTTACAAATAAAATGGACTTGACTTGCCGTGACTGAAGCAGGAGACAGTTTGTTCAGTAAAGAGCAGGCGACATAGTGGTGGAGGTTCTTTGTGTTAGAAATTTGGTCAAGATTGAGCATTACTGCCACCCTTTGGACTGGAGTGTGGGTCATGTGAATGTCATTTATTTCCCAAACAGCAACAAACACACGCTTGATTTCAAACATGCATTTGTAAGACTTGCTTTAGAACAAATGAGTGTTTCTGTTGCAGGAGTAAAACCACGGCAAGGAACTGAAAAGTCCTACAACCATATCTGAGTTTAAGAAGATGTCTAAAAAACAGGAGAAGGAGATAAAGGCTAAAAATGAAGACATTTTTACTTTTATATTGTCATACTTCAACATATAAATAAAATAAATAAATAAGATTATTTATATATGTGTGTATAGGCCTGGCTAAGTTAAATGCAAACTCAAAACACAAAAGTTTTTGGTGACATTTATTTGTCTCATATATAGTAAGAACATCCTCTGTTACAAAAGCATAGAAATAAATAAATAAATAAATAAATATGTAGGCTTAAAGAGCGCCCTTCAAACCCTCAAAGGAACCAGGGTACGATCCACTACCAAAATTTTTGCCTCGCATATGAAGTGCCTCTCATTACGGCAGCTGATGTCATTCCAGTTTGTCAAGGTGTTTTCGACGGTAGCATTGAGCTCGATAACAACACAGTCCTGACCGTGCGGGTGTTTCACGCCTTCAGACTTGTCAATAAGGTCGAAATGTTCAGTGGCATTGTCTGGGTTGCCTGCAGACCAGAATGTAAGAGATGTTTTTCTGTCGCCAACCCAAGTAAATTGATTTTCCTCCCTCATGTCATCCAGCCCAATCCATGCTTCAGGAAGAACCACTCCAGGGGTTGAGTTCTTTAATTGTGCAACCAATTTAGTCAAAAACATCTGGTCCTTTTCACTTTTAACAATAGCCAGGTCTCCACCTTTGTCTATGCAATTTGCACGGGCCCCCAACCACGTCAGCACCTCAACGGACATCTGGAAGCAGCGGGAGTTGTGCTCCTCCCAGCCCTTCCTGCAATTTGAGCATTGCAAAGCGTCCATATCGCAGTAACCGTCGATTTCCAAAGAGGGTGACTGCAGAATGGAACGCACCATCTTGTTTCTAGTCTTTTCTGATGCCAAAGTTGACACATTGCCAACGATCTCTTCTTTTAGATTTCTTATTTCTTGATACAGCCATGAAACACTGTTGTTGGCAGAGGTGACATTCCACTGGAGTTGGTCCACTTCAGCATTAATTTGTTGGTTTTCTTCAAGTAACTCTAAATGCTTCTTCTGACAGAGGGCTATGGACAACTGGAGGGCATTCGCCACTGCCAACTTCTCCTCCGAAATAGCTAAAGATCCATTGAGTTGTTGTATTTTTGCATTCAATGTCTCTCTCTTCAACCTCTCGTTTGCCAACATGTTGTTGAGGAATGTGATGTTTGCACGTGTTTCATTCAGCGTCATGTACAAATGTAGCTTTTCATTCTCCAATTGTCGTATGTCATCTTGACAGGAAGTCAGATTTTGGCGGAGATGTTCCACTTCTACGAAAGACTCCTCCAACTTCTTTCTGCTGTCCTCACAGGACATGATGTTCGATTGAAGAACAATGCGTTCTGCAGATAAATTCTTATTCAGATTCTGGTAGAAACTTATCTTGGCCTTGAGATCTTCGGTTTCTTCATACACCTTTTCCAGGGCCAACTTTTGGCTGGTCAGTCCATCTCCAAACCAAGTGGAGGTTTTCGCTAATCTTGAGCGTAATATAACACTTTTCTTTTTCTGTTCTATACTTTTTGTGTGACACAGAGTGAGATTTGAATGGAGAAAATGCTTTTCCTCCAATAGTCTTGTTCTCGTGGACTCAGCAGAAGAAAGATTTGACCGTAGAAGTTGAACTTCGTCTTCCAGCAATTCCTTCTCTGCAGACAATATTTCTGTCGTTAACACGTCATTGTCCAATTCTGTCGTCAGCAAAGTATTGTTGGTCATCGTTTCGTTGAGCTTCACTCGTAGATTTCTGTTCTCTTCCTCCACATTTGTTTTATTGACCTGGCAGGAAGTCAAACTCGACCGGAGAGAACCATTTTCTGCTGATGCATTTGCACTTAAGTTCTGGAAAAGAGTTAGGTTCGCCTGGAGAAGTTCTCTTTTTTCAGATAATGTTTTGCTCATGAGCAACTCATTTGCCAGTTGTGTTTTCAACCAAATGTTGTTTGGTTGTACTTCACTGAGGTTCACCTGTAGATTGATGTTCCTATCATCCTCCAGTTGTTTTTCTGACTGACAGGAAGTCAGATTTAAAAGAAGTATACTATTTTCAGCAGACACATTTGCATTTCCCCTCTGTGCATGAGAAAGATTTAAGAGGAGAAGTTGGTTTGTATTCTTCAGTAACTGTTTTTTCCCATTTAATGTTTCACTCAGCAACCTCTCATTTGCCAATTCCCTCCTCAGCAGAGTGTTATTGGACTGAGTTTTGTTCAGCTCTAACTCTAGATCTAGATTCTGACGTTTCTTGTCTTGTTTTTCTGACTGGCAGGAAGTTGAATTTTCCAGAAGAAAGATATTTTCCGCAGATACGTTGCCATATTTTCTGTGGTGTAGACTTACATTTGACTTGAGATGTCGGTTTTCTTCAGACAATGTTTCGCTCGCCAAACTTTCATTTGCAAATTCGTTTCTCAGCCACGTGTTGTTAGCTTGTGCTTCGGTCAGCTTTGACTGCAAATTTCTATTCTCCTCTTCTCTGCGTTGGTTCTCTGTCTCACAGGTTTTAAGGTTTGTGAGGTGAGAAGCCTTTTCTGCAAATAAACGTATACTCTGATTTTGGGCAAAGGATAAATTAAACCGGAGACGTTGAATGTTATCTTCTAGCAGCTGTTTGTCTGTAGTTAATGTTGTACAAATCGACCGCTCCTGAGCTAGTGATTCTCTCAGCAAAGTTTGGTTTGCATTTGATTTGGTCAGCTGCAACTGTAAATATCTGTTCTTCTCTTCTTCCTTTTGTTTTTCTGATTGACACACAGTTAGTTTTGAGTCAAGTAAACTGTTTTCTGCAGATAAATCTGCATTTATGTTTTGGTGAAGAGTTAGGTTTGCCTGAAGATGATGCTTCTCCTCAGAAAACCTTCCTCTCATCAACGTCTCATTCTCCAACTCTTGTCTTATTAAGATGTTATTTGCTTGCGTTTTATTTAATTCTGTCTTCAGATTTCTATTCTTCCTCCCGCTCTCTTGTATTGCTGACTGGCAGGAAGTTACATTTGACAAGTAAAACATCTTTTTGGCATATAATTTTGCACTCTTGTTTTGGGCGAGAGGCAGGTCCAACTGCAGGAGCTGGTTCCTGTATTCCAGCGAGTGCTGTTCTACGGCTAATGTTTGACTCAATAATCTGTTTTCTGTCAATACTTTTATCAGCACAGTGTTGTTTGAAAATGATTCGTTCAGCTTAAATTTTAAATTTCTGTTTTCATCCACGGTTTGTTGTTTCTCTGCCGAGCAAGCCTTTAAATATGACCACAACATACTATTTAATGCAGATAAATGTGTGCTTATGTTCTGGGCAGAAGTCAAATTAATCTTTAGAAGTTGGTTTTCTTCGGCTAAGGTGAATTTTTTCAACCTCTCTGCCCTAATTTCTTCATGAAGCCACGTGTTGTTAGCATGAGTTTCACTCATTTTTACCCATAGATTTTCATTTTCATTCTCTTTCTGTTGTACACCTGACTGGCAAGATGTTAAATTTGATTTCAGAAAAACATTTCTTCTAGAAACTTCTGTATCTGTATGCAGGACAAGAGAAAAGTTGAACAAAAGAAGTTTGTTTTTATGGGCCACTGTTTGATTTTGTCTAACTAATGTTTCAGTCGTTGACCTCTGCTTCGCCAGTTCTTCTGTCAGCCTACTGTTGTTGGCTGGGGTTTCTATCAGCTGTAAATGTAACTTGATCTTCTTGTACGCCATTTCTGTTTTGTCTGAGCGGCAGGAGTTGAGGTTCAACAGCAGGTGTTTGTTTTCAGTGGTCGCTCGTTTGTAGTTCTCAGCTAAATTTGTACAATTCTCCTGCGCTAGACTCAGTTCCGACTGTAGCTGAAAAATCAAGTCCTCCAAATGGTTTCTCTCCAACCAAAGGGTTGTATTCTCAGTCTTTAACATTTGGTTTTCCAGTTGAAGGTGGCCATTTTCTGTCTCCATTTGCCGTCTTTCCAGGGTGTGTTTCTTTTTGATTAGAATCAAATCACTCTTAAGCTTCTGTGTTTCAATATGGAGTTGATACAGCTCAAACCAAGCAAGAGAAAGCATTCCAATACCAAACATAACAAAGAATGAACACAGAATAACAGTGTTTAGAGTCACTCTTTTTTGCAATTGGACAGCCTCATGTTGCATTACCCCTCCTCCAGGATTCAGTCGCTGTCATGATACGATGAAAGCATATCTCAGGCAGAAAAATCTCTTTTTGAAGATGCAGGGTCTTTATGGAAGAAAATAAAAAACAAAATATTGGTGTTAGGTATGAAGATGTATTTTATAATATAAAACGTAAATATAACATAATGTATGTCAAACAATAAAACTGGCAGATTTGGTTTTTGTTACTTTTTCAATTTCATTTGTCGAACCAATAACCTGATTATTTCAAAGAAGAACAAAATGGAATGGGTGATAAGCAGCCTCCTCTACTGTAAGCCCAACCACAATTCTTAACTGGAAAATGTCCCAAAGCATGACACTGACACCACTGGGCTTCACATTACTTTATTGCTCCAAATGGCCCTTCTCAAATGAGTACCAAAAGGTTACCACTTTAACCCAACCTTTCACAGAACTAGGTGAATTTAAACCACCTGAGCTTTTGTATCTCTTGATGCTACATTTTTGTTTTTTTTTTAATTTTAGCTTAGTTTGACTGTTTCTGTCCAATAGTATAGGCTACCAGTTTGCAAGTACGTCACATACTCCACCCAGCAGCCAAATGCTGGTACTTTAAAAGTTCTTGGACCGTTCTGACTGTGGGACTTCTTGAATAATTTGTCTGTTTTTGTGAACTTGGCTTCATATGTCTGTCATAAAAAGAAAGAAAATCCAGCCACTACTTCAACTTTTTATTTGATTTGAACAAGTGTATCTCTTTATGGCAGGTTAGACTAAATGGCATTTCTTGATTTTGAACACCAGCTCGTTGCACCCATGTTGTATTTATCCAAGTACATTTTTGCTTTGTTTTTATTGTTTATTTGATAATGAGAGTCTCAAAAAGACCTGATATGAAGTGATGAAAAATCATGCAGTCATGATGACAACTACATATACAGTGAGGAGAAGTTAGTATGTTATCCCTTGCCAATCCCAATGCTGTACTGTGATGAAATATGTATTTGACCCTATGCAAAAAGTAACTTAGTAAGTCAAACAAAGAAGTCATGTTTTTGTAGTTGGTCACCATATTGGCTCACATTTCAGATTGCTGGTTTGACATTCTCCTCTTAATCCATTTTTGCCATGCCTCTAGTTATTTTAAAAAACTTGTTTTTTGCATCTGGTCACTGTAAGAAAAATCACCAAAAAAAGTTACAAGCCACTCATTTCGTTTTTGTTGGACAAACCTAGATGACCGGCGGGATAAAGCGTATTCTTTATCCCGCTGATTTTCCCGACTGTATAATAGATATTGTTTTACAGGAGAAGACAAATGTAATTTAAAACTTTAACGTTTAAATAAATGCTGACTGACCTTATGATGCACATACAAACTCGTGGACAATCTGATCACATCTGTAATGTTGATGCACAGCATTATTTGAAGATCAGCTCATGGGGGTGGGGCCCCAGTGAAATATATCCTTTCACATAGTACTGCCAGAATTTGTTTTTCTGTTTTTGCTGCAGGTGACATCCTTTTGTCCCATTACTGCCAAGCAATGCAATTTTAAAGATTCCAACATGAGCTCCAGCATTGATCAGCATGTAAGGTCCTTTGATCTTTCATCTTGATACTTTCATGTGTTCATTTATTACATTGCCTAAAATACGCTTCTGCTTATGAGTCGGCAGTTTCAGGGAAACATAGAAACCTTGAGCTGCCTTTAGGCTTTATTAACTTTTCTGAAACGCGGACATACTTTGTGACATACATTCGGAGCCTATTCCAAATGATCAACATTGTCCAATAGGTTTTAACTTTGCATGGTCAAAGGCAGTTGCACATTTCATCAATCCATCATAAACGTGTCTACGTTTTACTGTAAATAAAGCGTTGACCCAATAAGGCAGGGACTTGACAGCAGTGGTTCTTTGAAGGTCAACCACGGTGTCTAATCCAAAGTAGTTGACAGAACGCTGGTTTCCAGAAGAACTTTCACCTCTCATAGAGGAAACCTTTCCTAACAGCTCAGTGTTCCCATTAACTGCCAAGACCGTGGCAGCCTATCACAGTCTCATTTGGCCCCCCACAGTTTTGTTTCACCAGTATTGTGGGTGGGCTAAATTTTAGTGGAAAGGTGCAGTACCACATTCTCAACACTCATTCAAGTAAGATTTAAAGGGGAGGGTGTTTTACACATCATATAACAAGAGAGAGGAGGAGATAACTGTGTTTTTATTTAATTAAATATTCTGATTTTTTTTTATTTTTACAAATGACTGATGCTGGACTCTGGTCAAGTGTTCTTGATATTGCAGCAACCCTGATGAATGTTTGGGGCCAAGAGCAGGAATCATCTTCTGCTTGTTAAATTTCCTTTTCACCATTGTCCCGGTTTATGTGGCAGACAATGACATAAAAGAACTCTTACCTGGACTCACTTGTCCAGGAGCCTGAATACCAGCAGATTTTACACCAGAAACAAAAAGTATAAACACTTTATGTCTGGCCATTTCCCCGTCAGCTCCAATGGAATGTGAAGTGTTTGGGTCATTTTAAGTTACGTGTGATGTTTATTTCTATATACAGTACAACACAGTTCTCAGTGTAAATGCTGTCAGCCATTTAAGGCCATAAAAAAAAGACTCATTTTTTTCCCTCAATTGGTTTTATTATAAAAGTTGAAGTTTCTAGTCCGACAGTGAACAAGAAAAAAAAGTCCAATAAACATCCAGTACGAAAATAATAATAATAATAATAAAAAAAAGACAACATGATGACGAGGAAGGCGAGGCTGGGTTTCCATGGCGACACAGAGGTACTTGGGTGTTGGGGAGGGGCTATAGGAGTATCCATGGTTACAGAGTGTGGGGGCGGGGTTTATTCTACTATCCTCTGGTGTCAGACAGTTAAAATGTGAAAATGACCAACACACTCACACATACAGTTGCATGAACACACACGCAGTTTTCTTGTGTGTATGTTTCAAAGGTCTGCGTTCCTGAACTCTGGACAACTCTTAAAAATAAATCTAAAAATGCTATTCAAAAGGTACTTAACTTCAGGAGTCCTGAATCCAAGTACTCTGGGTACTTTGTTTTTATTGTGATAGGTGGAGAACCAACTGAGTCCAACAGAACTGTAGTTAATTGTAATAAACGTTGAGCTGACTTAGACCAGAGGTTCTGTACGTTTCGGTTCTTTTCCATGTTCTGTTAACATGTGCATGTTACTGTAGTCTGTTGAAACACACCTACTGATACTGCTGTAGCACTCTCACTGTTCTCATTGTGAAGTCACAGTTCACTGACAACGGTTGTGACAATCGGCCATTTAAACACTTCTGTGACTAAAAAACAAACATGGTTCAGTGTTTTTAATGTTTGTCTACCGCTTGTTCGCATCACAGCTATAAGCGCTTGAAGGTTTATATTCTTTGCTAAAAGAATAAATATAAATAAGTAAAAGGTAAACTTTTAGGAACTGTTGTGAGGAACTAAAATGTCACCATTTTTCAAAAGTACTGATTACCCAACACTCAGGATTCAGTCCATTATTGGTTGTGCCACTGCCAATACATTAACACTGTCCAAATTTGGGGATTATAGACTCACTCACCCACATGTTCTGGAACTGCCTCCTAAATTTAACTCTAAGTCACTGTTAACAGAAGTGCACAACAGTGTTACTGTTGGTGTTAAACAGTCACCGATCACATGACTGAAAACAATGTGGTCATGTGACTGCACCCTCTCATATGATAAAGAATCAAAGAACTAACAGCTTACTTACATGTTGTATCATGACTGCCTTTATGGGATGATGGACTCGTCTCCTGCCTGGTCTCACCTGTCCCTCATCCTCGTCCCTAATGCCCTGTCCTATTGCCTCTCACTGAGCTACTATAAAGCCCTGCCCCCTTATCTGACTTGGTCCAAAAGACTGCCTGACCTCTGAAACACACACACACATACACACACACACACACCTTCCTTTCTCTCTCTGCCTCTACTCATCATCATCATCCTCCTCATCGTCATCCTCGCCATCATCCTCGTCCTCTTCCTCTCCTCCCTGAGCCGAAGAGCCAGGATTCCTGGCGTACGTTCCGCCACCGCGGTACGCCACCATATCCTGCAAAAACAAGACAATCCACCGCGGTACGCCACCATATCCTGCAGAAACAAGACAATAAAAGTTATAAAAGTCCTGGACACTGCAGGACAACTGCATCATACACAGACTAATTTCCGCCACCCAGGGAAAAAAAAAACGAATAGTTCAAGGTGCAGTACCACTGCTGGCCAGTGTGGCTGATCTCAAAAAGATCTCCTTCATTCGTTGTACCCCTGTGTTACAATGACAATAAAGGCTATTCTATTCTTTCAGCCATGCCAAGTTTTTAAAAAATGACTATAGAACATGTTCCTGTAAATATAGAGGTTCCCCGTGTTACCACTTATAAAAAAAAAAAAAAAAAAAAAGACTCAGTGGTGTTGTTGGCACTTACCCGGTCGTATTTCTCTCTTAGTTTCTGGGCCTTCTCTTCATACGGTTGTTTCTCAGATTGTGACAGTTTGCTCCACATTTCACCCAGTTTCTTGGCGCATTCACCTATAGACACACCAGGGAACTGCTGCTTCACACTGGGACGGTACTCGCTGCAGAATACGAAGAAGGCGGAGCTGCAGGACGAGAATATCATTAATTCTGATTTAAGTATAGATAATATATAGTGAGTTATAAGCAAATCCCAGAGCATTTACACGGCACAAACTTTCTGACAGCACTGCATCCCTGGAACTTTTTACTATAAAAGCATTACTTAAAACTTACGGGGGTCTTTTAGGAGCATTAGGGTCTTTCCTTTTGCGACCTCTCTTTCCAAAACCCTTGGGTGGGACATAGTCTTTCATCTCCCTGTTGTAACGCACCTTGTCAGCTTTGGCCATGTCCTCAAAACACTTCTTATCGCCGGGAGAAAGACCCTGCACGCAGACCAGAACACTGTTACCCCAACTTTTGAAAGTGCCACTTCCTCTCAAATATATCAATTAATCACAGAAAATGTGGAAAATCAAAATCCATGCATCTCCTACCTTCCATCGCTCAGAGCATTTCTTGGAGAACTCAGCAAAGTTGACAGACTGCTCTGGGTTTTTCTTCCGGTGTTCCTCTCTACACGTCTGCACAAAGAAGGCGTACGCCGACGTCTTCCCTTTGGGCTTGTTGACGTCCTTGCGCATCATACTGACAACTTATATGAAGTAGGAACACACACAAAGAAATTAATATTTTTTATTCAACCCATTTGAAAATTATTATTATAATTATTAAAATTAAATCATTCTACTCCATGAAAATATGAATAAAAACAGTTCTAGAGAACCAATATTGTGGCTGCTAAAACAAATGTAATTATGTAAATGTAATTAATGTTTCTGATCACTTATAAACAGGCTGTAGATGTGTTTCTACAGATTTTTGTAACAGCTTAATTTTAATAGCTGCCTGTCTTCGAGGTTTGCTCTTCTAGGCCAGAAACAATAACATATTAAAAATACTTGATTTATTTTATCCTAATTTTTTTTAAGTAATTTGGTGATAAAATCAGCCGTGTGCCAGCGCTAATATCTTATTTGGTTTGACAAAATCAATAGGATGAGACAGCTCCAGGTGTCAAACATTTTAAAAGAATTCACCTTAAACCTTTCTACTTTTAACTGTTCACAAAAAACGAACCTTGATTTGTTATTATTTGTTTATTTTATACTTTGTTAATGCGACACGTCAGTTTGCAACTTTCTCCGTCTCTCTAATAATAATGACCTATCGTTACATATTCAGCCTCGATCAGCCATCTACCTGGGCCGATGAGGAATAACAAAGAAAAGAGTGAGGATCCATTTTACTCCCACTGGGAGCAGGGAGGCCCGCAAACACGGGGTAGACCCCGTCTGACTGCTTACTACATGCTGGGACATCCTGACTGGAGTCTGGCAGTGGCACCCTGGCTGTGACATAAGAGAGGATGGGAGGAAAAGCGACGCTCACAGCGTCCTGTATAGGGTATACGGCCGCTGCAGTTAGCTCCGCCGTGCTAACAGGCTAACTCTGACAGAACAATGGGCCACCATTTGCTTCCCGCCCTCTGCATCGCTGTTCTCCCCATCCCCCTTCACTTGAGAGCAGCTTTAGCAGCCACATGCACATTAAGCAGATACGTTAGAATGTTAATGATGTGAAAGTATAATTATTTTCACACAGCATGGACTTGTATTTTAATCAAACCCACGGCGTCATTTTAACCAAACTCGCTGGCTCTGCAATGGAGATATGAAGTCAACACGGTAGCTACGCATTTTCAACGCAGGGCCCCAGCTATGCTCAGGAGAGGTCGTTATTGCACAAACGGGACGCGTCTATTTCCTGACATTCATGCTCCAAAATGGGCGTTTCGTGTTTACAACTACACGCTTTGTTCAGTCATACACACAAAGGCTGCGAACCACGCACAGCGAGCTGAACGCGGCTGCTGCGGGGAGCTGATAGCGGCCATTTTAAAATCCTTTCTCATCTTTTTTAACGTTTTTTTTTTTTTTCTAAAATCACAGGAGTCACTGGCTACAAAAACACAACCGGCATAACGGAGCCAGTTCATTGTCAGTTAGTGCTAGTGACTGTGACCGGCTCCGGCAGTGAGGGGCCGCGGTACTCACTCGTCAGGGGGCCGGTTATAGGCGGAGGCAGACTTCGGACCGGGATTCTGGGTTCGGATCTGGGGTTCTTGTTGTTGTTTGGAGGCTGTAACAGCGACTGGAGACGTTGGTTCACTTTCAAACTGGGTCGACCTCAAGTGCCGCTCCGCCCCCAGCAACGCCCCCGTTGGTTATTCTGGTTTACGGGGCGGTGACGGAGCGTGTCACACTGGGCGGGGCTGGTCCGAATAGCTGTCAGTGATTGGTTTGTGGCGTCGCGAGTGAAAACCCCGTTATTGGGGCGGGAATTCTACGCACACAACAGGGTGGCGCTAAGCGGCGAGGCTGTCCCTGAATAGTCGAGGGTTTTTGTGTCAAATCAAATGGCTTATCCGCTAGAAGGGAGGAGGGGCAAGAGAGCAGCCGCAGCACATAGAAGGATGAAGATGCACTTCAGGCTACGTTTCGTTTGTCTCGTAAGTGGGGAATTAATAACGTCACGTCCGTTTAAATACCCAGTTGAAAAAGTAGCTGAATACCAAAGTACTATATGTACCAGATGGCATTGGACACAAATACTTTTGTGTTTCAACTGCTTTTACCACATCATGACATCATGACATGACCCTCTGTCACTCGTTTGAGACCACTTACTGCGTGATTCACGCGGCAGGTGTGTGTGTGTGTGTGTGTGTGTGTGTGTGTGTAGTTTTCTAGGATGTTTTTGTCTTCTACAGTTTTCAACTGCACACATGTTTTTGTGCTACTTACTTTCAGTAAATCTGTTCATGGTGAATAAAAGCACAATTCTCACACATAGATGATACTGAATTCTTAAGTCTCTAGATTGTTGAATACTATAAACATGATAACATTCCTGCAAAAACACATGAACAATGGCAGCAACCAAACTATACAGGTAGAGATGGGGTCCTGTCAGGGCTCTCGGTGCAGCTTCTCTGCCCCCATCAGGTGGGATGGTGGAGTCTGATAGAATATTCTGAGCACTTCCAATAAAACTCTCAGTTCCTCTTCAATTTATATAAATTTCCTGGGCAGGTACTGCAGGTACATTTGTCTTACTTCTGCTTCTCTCAATCTCATTTTCCACCATCAACCACAGACAGACACCTGTCCTCCATGCAGTGTCTGTTCACGTTACAGTGTTTGACCGTCACATGCAGATTATCAGCAGGTGCTTTCCACCCACAACTCTCTGAAAATCACATACGGGGAAATGGGCAGCATTGAAGGTAACCACATGCTGGAAACTGCTGGAACTTTTTTTCTTTCTTTCTCCTAAATCGACTTCCTCATTCAGTCTTAATACCTCAACCTCTAAATTTATGAAATAAATTGAGGCAATCAAGGCATTTCTATGTGACTTTGACGATCTGTTGTCCGTCTGGGCTGGTTGGCAGGGCAGGGGCCACTGTGAGTCTGGAGAAGGAGCGGACAGTTTCCTGTTTGACTTAAGTTTCTCTGATGATGTCACACAGCTGGAGTAAAACAGTGCCTCAGGGTAATTACCATATTAACATAGGCATTAAGGTGTGACAGGAAGGTTAAACTCCCCTTTGATGAGTTTCAAAATAAAGAGCATGCTCGAACAAGGGAACTACAAGTTACAAGTGACAATTGAGCAAAATAATCAAAAATACAGTATGTTGACATGTATGACAAGTGGACGACAGAAAAATCTTCTGTGTTGCATCTACGGTCCAACTTGGTTTGGTCTGCTCAGTGTTAGCGTTAGTGTAACACATATTTCTGTTTTATTCATGCATAAAACCAATGACAAACATTGGTGTCCAACATCAGTCGTTGTAATGCTTCTTCTGTGTTACTGCTATGCTCAATTATTTCTACTTTCTCACTGTAGCTGGGGCCAATCCACTCATTCATTTGCAAAGTAACAATACAAAGTAAAGTAGGATTAAACTTACACATCGGGCAGCATTTTGGCAATGGTGGGGGGAAACATTTCCTTTAAAAGGAAGAAATTTCCAGAATATTCCAGCAGGTGATTGCATCAGGTGAGTCTGTCTTATTGTTATTGTGAAAGTGCCTGAGTCTGTACTTCCTGTTAGGAAACTGAAAGTTAACGCAACACTTTACGGCCAGATTACCGCCAGATTTGGAAGATGAATATGTTTGTGACATTTTTACTGCTGACAGTCCTGTGGGAAGAGCCAGGAAGAGTGGACGCAGGTGACCAAATGAAGACAAGGAGACAAACGTCAGTCACTGTTGGACAGCTGGAGCTGAGCCAGAACACAGGAAGTGCAGGTAACAGGTGCTCTGTGCTGAGTGCTGAGTCACCTGGAGCAGTGTCTCATTTGTTGTCTGTCTGTGTCCCCCAAGATTTACAGCATGTGAATGTGACGGAAGGAGAGGACTCTGTGGTGCTGCCCTGTCAGGTGAATGTGTCCAACACATCTGTTGTAGTGTGGAGTCGCAATAAGTCAGGGATTGTTCATGTGCACCCGTGGGACAGAGACAGTCTGGACCTCCAGCACCAGAGGTACAAGAACCGAACACAGATGCATCCAGACGCTCTGCAGAGTGGAAACCTAAGCCTCACACTGTTGAAACCAACTACAAATGACAGTGACCTTTACAAGTGCAATGTCAGAGAGTATGGAAAGGATCTCAGCGAAAGAAAAGTGCAACTAAAGGTCACAGGTTAGTGATGTACAGACACCAGGGCTAACATTAGCTATAACAGTCCTAGTACAGACACCAGGGCAACCCTAACATTAGGGTTAAGTGTGAAGCCAGTCCACAATAATCCAGATACAAGGGTTCAGAACCAAACATCTACCAAAAATTGCTTTGTATGTTATTTTGGTTTGATGCCGTGTTCTTGTTTGACTGCAGAACCATCATCACCCACTACAGCGGAGGTGGTGGGGCCGGTGGTGGGGCTGGTGGTGGGGCTGGTGGCAGTGGTGGGGCTGGTGGTGTGGATTTTCTACTGTAAAAAGTCGAGAGCTCACCAGCGACAGGGTAAGTTTATGGACGACGTCATAGTGTGTTTGATTCATTTTGCTTAAATGTCCTCTGATCAACACTGAGCCTTATTCTCCTGTGGTCCTGAACATACCTGCATATGTGGACGTTCACCTAAGATGTCCCCGAAGCGCAGCCACTCACGGGTCAGAGGTCAGATGGTGAACATCAGAGGTGCAGAGAGAGAAAGGAGGTAGACTCAGGGGTGGCGTCTGCTCAGCTGTCGGTGAGAAACACAGCGTGTCAAACACAGATGCCAGATGTCAAAATAGAGTGGAAAAAAGGAGCTGTACTAGTCAGCTCTTATGGCCCCGATGGAAGCACTGATGAAGGCCCTAGTTATAGAGCGAGAACAACCATCAATCAGGAGGACTTTAGTCTCACCCTGAAGCACCCACAAGTCCAGGAAGAAGGAATCTACACCTGCACCGTCTATGACAAAGATGAGAAAATCCTGATGAAACAGGAGGTGGAGCTTCATGTCAAAGGTAAATTCATAACTAAGGCATAAATGTCCCACAGTTTAAAAAGCTCATGTAACAGTTTGTTCCCTCAGTCCCCCAGATGGTGGTGTGTCCAGGACAGAAGTCTGTCTGTCTGTCCTTTGATACTGAAGTCCTGCCAGGAAACATTAAGGTGATTTGGGACCTTGTAAAACCAGGGGAAAAAGGTGTTTACATACACATCGAGAACGACCCTGAAAACACAGGGCCAGAACAGGACTACAGAGACAGGGCACAGATGGAAATCAATGGTAATAGATGCAGGCTCACACTGACCCTGGATCCATGGATGCCTGAAGACTTCGGGACCTACAGCTGTACAGTGTTGGAAAACAACGACGAAGGCCGCTACCTGAGAATGAAACATATTGAGCTCAAGATGTCAGAGTGAGTAGATGTTTGTATCCGCCTCATTCTTTACTTCTCTTTTATCTCCATCTCTGTGTCTTCTCACTCACCTCCAGATTGAATTCTGGCTGATGACTGAGCTGTCCACACCATCAGAGAGGTCACCTGAGTGACGTCTTCAGATGGGAAATCCAGATAAACTATGAGAAAAACAGGATGATAATAGAATAGTCCTTTATTGTCATTGTAACACAGGTGTACAACGAAATTGAGGAAGAACAAAGCTGGCTGCCACTACTGCTGCTGGGCCCGACTACGACCTGGCTCCGGTTCTCCGGAGCCAGGTGAAGCCGGCCAAGACTTCATCGAGATGAGATAAGACGAGATGAGATGAGACAAGACAAGAAGAAAAGAAACAGGAGGGAACAGGACGAGACATGATGCTATTGATCCTTTACATGTTGCAGCAGCATAGTCTACCTACTGGACGTAAAAGAGTGCAGAAATATGAGTTTGTGTTTCGTACTGTTGCTGTAGTTGTTAATAAATTGAAACACTAAATTGTTTAGTCTGGTTCTTCGCACACAAGCCTGATCAGAAGTTGAAAGTAGCTTCTGTGAGCACGTGGTTCATTTACAAATCCAAAACCAAAATAAGATCCAGATGTAGACACCAGTGGAGCCCTTTGGCCCAGAGGCCACGTCTCTGTCATTGGTGTTGAACCCCAGGGTTCACCTCCTGGGCAAGTTCAAGTCCCTGTCAGGGCGGTTGGTACCTTCCAGTGGACTGACCACCTGCAGGAAGGTTCAGGGGGGTTGGTACGGTGCAGTGTGATTTGGGTGGTGGTCATGGAGACTGCTGCCCCCGTGGATGGATGTAGAGACCAATGTGCTAATACAGGCATGTCCAACCCGTGGCTCAGGAGACACATTTTTATGGTACGTAAATCTCAGTACATGTGGTGTTGACGCAAATGACTTGGAGGGAAAAACCATTTAGTATAGGCCGACCAAATTCACTCCAATTTACTCGACCAAATGGCAGGAAAAAATGCACAAGAAAAGGAAAATATGAAGATAAAGACAGAACGTTTTTGACAGAGTGAGAGAGTTTGTTTTTTAAGGGATGGGGCGGTTCATGTGTGCCCATGTATATCATGTGGCAGTAACACAGTAAACCAGCTTCACTAGACAATAGGTTCTAATCTAGAACCATTTCATTTTCTTTATTTTTCCTGAAAGAACATTTAAAGGAAGTGGATTTCCGTTGTGACCTGGAGTCAAAGACATTGACCAGAATTCCTTAGAGAAGGAGTTCTCTGATGGAGACACCACTGAAGAAGAGAGCAGACAGAGACATGGAGGAGATGGAGGAGAGACAGAGATTTGGTCTTTTCAGAAATAAGGATTTTTGTGTTGACATATGTCTTAAAACATTTAGACTTTTTAGACAATTTATATCTAGATCAGGAAATAGAGTTAGAAGAAATATAAGCTAGAGACAAAGTCATGGACTTAAAACTGATCAGAATACTGGTGTAGAGCAAACCACATTAGATGAAGGAGAACAAGAACAAAAGCAAATCCAGGAAAAATGGAAGACATTTAAAAAGTGGATTGAGAAAAAAAGGGTGTGGGGGTGACACACCTCAGGTTGAACCACAGATGAAAAGTAGATTTGCATTTAGATAAATACAAATGTGAGAATGGCTACGCTGAAGAGAAATGCAACAGGGAAAGTTCCAAAAAAATCAAATCATAAAACTTTTAATGCCAATCACAAAAGCTTGGTCCTGAAACTGCTGCAGTCGACCAATCAAAATGTGGTTCACAGCGACTTGTCCACGTGGAGCAGGATGTGAGGTGTTGAGGTGATGGTGGGGAAGTGAAGCTGTGGGCGACTCAGGCTCAGCCAGTCACTCTTCACCGGAGACAAGATGAGGACGTGGTGGGGGTCGCTGATACTGGGTGAGTCAAACACTTTTCTCACCCTTGTTGTGAAAACAGATTTACATTTTTAAAAGTAAGTGAAATGATATAAACTGCTTTGTACATGTCAGAATAAGACATACGCACAAGTACATTTTCAAAAACAAACGTGTATTTGGAGTTTCACCTTCTCAGAATTAACTTTGTAAGTCAGAAGTCAAATGTGGATTTAACAAAACAAGTTCATATTATGAAAATAAGAAATTGACATTTTTGAAAGAGAAAAAGGGAAATCTTTACTTAAAATGTTTTTGTAAAGTGTCCAATTATCCAGGTTATTTTTACTTAAAATGTTTTTGTAAAGTGTCCGTCCAATTATCCAGGTTATTCAAATGTGAATGATTCTGTCTGTCCTTGTCAGCTGTCCTTAGATTTTCTCTGTCCTTTCACCCATCCTGAGGTTTGAACATTATTAACATAATTCACAAATTGTTGTTTTGTTCTTTTTTGGGACTCCTGCCCCCATGTTGCAGGTTTATTTATGGCACTGCGGTCTGGACAAACTGTTTCAGCAGGTGAGCTGACGCTGAACTTTGATCATCTGTTACTGTATCTGTCTTCGTTTGTCTCCCTAACTGTCTTCGGGGTGGGTGTCTCTCAGTGTCTCTGACAGTCCGTCCCAACCTCCAGCAGTTCTTCAGCAAAGACGTCCTGTATATGAGCTGTGACCAAGGTGGACAAAGAATTAGGAGGACGACTGGAGGACAGACAGAGCCATGGACAGCTCAAAGACAGACAGGTTTGTCTCCATCAGACTCTGGACTGTACTGGTGTGAGACCAGTGATGGGCGGACGAGTGAATCGGTCAACATCACAGTGGTTCCTCCAGGTACACACGCTGTCTCGGCAGTGGCTTTTGACATGAATCAATTTAGTCTTTTACGTGTCTTCTCAAGCGTTCTTCTTTTCAAGGTCCTGGTGAACAAAGATAAAGATCTAAAGCCAAGTCAATTCCTGAAGTGACACCTGGTCATAGGTGTGATAACCACTTGTGTTTTGTGGGTCATTCTGTCCCGGCCTTCTTTAGACTGTCCACTGATCCTGGAGATCCCAGCGCTGCCCGTGATGACAGGTGGAACGGTCACATTCCTCTGTAGAACCAAAGACGGTTCAAGAACAGCAGCATTTTTCTTCAGGAACAGCACCGACATTGGAGGCAGGACAGTGCATCAGCAGGTGACCTTGGGTCACATCCAGCCCTCAGATGAAGGATTCTACTCATGCTCTACAAACCTGCTGGGCTCGTCTCTAAAGAGCTGGCTCAGGGTCCAAGGTCAGTGACATCAGTCTTTCATGTTCGGCATATGTGCCACAGTGTCAAAGTCATGTTTTTGAAAATCTTCTAGAATGTGATTTAAGGCATTTTATAGTCTCAACATTGTCGCTAACTGAGATTAAAATGAGTATTTTCGAACAAGCTTTGTTTGAAACGCCAGTTTCTTGTGTCGCAGGCTAACAGGAACTTTTGTACAAAATCGGATTTGAGTCAAATTTACTAGCAACCACAACATTTGCTCTGTTATCTACAGGCCACGCCCCCTCGACTGCTCCTCCTCCACTTTCTCCTTCAACTCCTCCTCTACTGCCGTCTGTCTCTGTGTTCAGACTCTTCTCCCATCTAGTGGTTGTCTGTCTGTTCTGCATCAGCAGCGTCATGATGGTGTTGATATGCAGCATGACGACAGGTAGCAAACATGCTAACACACACAGACACACACACACACAGACAACACACACTTTCTAATAATATCGTTCACTTTACCTGCAGGTAAAAAATCACCTGTTTCCATGGAGACCACACACTACCTCACAGAACATAATCACGTCGCAGTGGGAGGCGGGGCCATCATTGAGAATGAGTTTTAATTGCACGATGAATCAATATTCCCAATGCTTTTTGACATGAAATTAAATGAGTTTTGTCCTTTGTTCTAACCAGTCAACGATATTTTAAAAATAATAAAATAGTAAAATGTTTGTAGTAAATCTTAATGTTGGGTTTGGTTACAGTTTTAAAAACACTTGAAACAGTGTTGGTGTAACAGGCAACATTTCCTGTCAGTGATGTCACTCTAGCCCTACAGGCCAGGGTTTGGTCGGTTTTAAGTATTAGCCACAAGAAATAAACCTAAGTTTACCTTTAAGCATTATCAAGTCCAAGTCATTGTTAGTGTCTAAAACTTGATTTTCAAAGTTGCGTTTAGGTTAGAATTCTGAACATTAAACCCAGGACTTAGACCAAACAATCTGTATCAAACACAAACAATACACCAGGGATAAATGTGTTGGAGTTAAAGTCAAACCTAAAACATCTGGGTTTTAGATTTCTATCACCAACAGTTACACTGAGTTTAAGATGACATCATCATGAGGAAAATGAATTTTAGGTAAAAAGTGTTTATGCTAATGTCAGCAGTTCCATACGTTTAGGTCCACAGCATTAGAACTGAGGTTAAATGTATCTTTACTTTTTTTCTTTTAGTCTGTCTCACTGTCTGTTTGAATCATGAGCTCTGGGGTAGGTCGGGAGCTGCTCTTCAAATGACCAGGTTAAAGTGATCAACCAACTGCTAATGCTGTGTAATGAAACTGAGAATCCCATCCAATTTTATAATGAACGTATTTATTTCAATAATCTTCATTTATAATTAATTCATTTCAATTTACAGCAAGTCATGATAGCAATAGCCTCCTGCGTATGTGTGAGTCGTGTGTATGTGTGTATATCACATGACCCTGATCTTCAGTCTGAAAACCCGGAACCTTCAGGAACCATCTGGAGCAGCTTGGATCAGTCCTCAGCCCCAGCTTGCAGGCGCGAGGGCCACTTTCAACCGCACTCCCACACGTTAGTTGAGCCCAACACTTGTGCTCCACCCCAGGCCCGTTTGTCCTGACCTTTAGGAGACAATCCTGGGAGCCATAGTCAAGAAAAAGGACTTATGGGTAATGTAGTCCATCCGTAAACGAGTCCATAGATATGTTCATGAGAAACGTAGTCCACAGCTTATGACTGAAAAAATCTATTGGACTGCAGCACAAGGGGGTTGTGGGTGTTTTAGTCCAGACAGAGAGGGATTGTGGGAGATTGTGTCCTGTAGGACCACAGGAGGATTGTAGGGGTTTGATAAGCCCTGAATAGACTGTGTGTTTGAGCCCCATTGTGTTTATTTACAACCACACAAGTCTGTTATGTACACAACACCCGCACACACACACACATACACACTCACTGTCCTCATGTCACATGACTCGGCCAACCAATCAGTCGGTAAATAAATAAATAAATAAATAATTAGGTGAATATAAATATTTCAATACCAACTGAACCCTACAGTCTGATTCATTATTTACTGATAATACAGAATTATCAATCAACAAACGAAGAAAAAAAAAAAAAAGAGCAATCGCTCAATCAGCTGTCCCACAGATGGACTGACACGCCCACTTCACTGCCGTCCAAAAACTTGGCCTGCTCGTCTTCATCCCATGTGGGGAAGAAGACAGGAGTTAAAAGGGTTAAAACTGACACCGGCTCTCCCTCATGTGACTCGCCCCAGGAGGGGCGAGAAGGAGGAGCAGGAGACGGCGGTGTCAGAGGGCGGGATCTGAAGAAGGCGTCCGTGGCTCAGCAGTCGCCGATCAGAGTCTGTCGCGAGCAGGTACCCAGATGTAGGGTCCGCTCTGCTCCTCCACGACACCTTTGACCTGGTGGTAAACCTCCTCGAAGCTGTCACCGTGCACGATAGCTGTACACACACAAACACACACACACATATACATCGATGACATTTTTATCTAAATATTCACATCAACAAAAAAAACTTTTTTTTTTTTCTTTTTTTTTTACCAGTGAAACACTCAAGGAAATCCTGCTCCAGTTTGATGGCTCGGTCTAGAGCTTTCCGTGCCTGATCCTCAGACAGACGCTTGTTTAGGTCCCTTGGAATGAACACACACACACACACAAAAAGGTCACTATCAATGTCTACAGTTTTCAAAACCATGAGTTTTGCCAGACCACTTCAGTGGAGGCTCAAATCCAAGAAAAAAAAAACCCCGGTTTGTCAAAGCAAAATGAACATGGCTGGGAACAGTTTTGTGAAGTGCTGCCCCCTGTGTCTTGAAGCTGCTACTGCTACAGTACACTGGTTGTCAAGGACTTACAAGATGTTCTCCAGGGACCGTGGTCGGATGAAGATAGCAATGGGCTGGAGTTGCGCTGCTTGAAGCCTCCTGATGGCATTGGCTGACACATCCAGGATGCAGTGTTTCCCCTGGTCATCAGAAGAGGGCAGAGTTTATTAAAACAGGACTGAACAACAGCCAACACTGTTCACAGGGACTGCACTTTTTCCAAAATTTTCACCGTCCCACCTGCTCAGCCACCTGCCGGACGCTCTGCACCGACGTCCCATACAGGTGGTTGTTGTACTGCCCCGCCTCGATGAAGCGATGCGATTGGATATCCCGCTCCATCTGTTCCCGAGATGACACAAAGTGGTAGTCTCGCCCATCTAGCTCATAGTCCCTGCGAGGACGAGTTGTGTCTGCACATAATGAGACAAAGGTCACATGACTGACTTCCTGTTCCCTGAGGTTTCATGAGTCCAGTGGAGTCACTGGGAGACATACGTGGGACGCAGGAGCCAAACTTGTCAGGAAACTCAGACAGAAGGTCATCGTTGACCCGGTCTTTGGTCGGCCCCAGGATGATGACAGGACGAGCGTAATCCACTGAAGACGGAAGAAAGACGTAGAGAGAGACATTGGATCTTTATCAGATGAGGTCCACACAGAAGACACAGTGGTCCAAATGTCTGAATGCGTCCAAACAACTGACCTTCAATCTGAGTGATGAGCTCGTAACTGTGGACAAAACCGTCGCGACCTGAAATGGAGACGTTCCAGTCAGAGAGAAGGGGCACAAGAGAAAGGTGCAAAAGAGGCTCAGTGGACAGGAAGACAGGACGGATGTATATGGGACAGACAGGAAAGACAACATTCAAATTATAATAACGACAGACGTAGCCAAAAGTTTTCCAAACACAAAATCACAAAAAGGACAGAAGGACATGTCACCTTTACTCTTCATCCTTGACCACTCCTTCCTCTCCACTCTGAAACACAGGGGCAAAGTCAGACCAGAAGACCTCAACATCACTGCACCTCATACTGAACCGTCTTACCTGTGTTTGGACGGGACATAGCCGGACTCCTCCAGCTCCCCCTGCTGGCTAACCCGCCGCGCCTGCCACCACTCGTCATCGGCACTGTCAGTCACGTGGAGGATGTCACCAAAGTTAAAGTCCAGGGCCTGTGAAAGGCCACCACAGTCCCACTGCTTGTCGTAGTCGAACAATGCCCTGAAACCAGCAGGGGGCTCCACATTACAAATGCTGTGATCATCATTTAAATACAAAAGTGTACAAACAAAAAGATGTAAAAACCCCACTAGGGTTGAGTGTGGTCTTCAGGAACTGGTATAGATAGGTGTCTGAAAGACCTGCTGGTGTAGAAATACCTGACGTAGAAGCTGCGGGTTCCTCTCAGACTCCCCGAGGTGGAGTTCATCATCTGTTCCCTCAAGTCGTGGATCTTGGCCTCAAAGCGACTGTACTCTGCAAACAGAGCCAACATGTGGACATGGGTTTCTCTGGTGATATATATTTATTTATGGTGCGAATGTGAACTAAACTTCCGACCCCAGCGTGTGTTAGAGGCCCACCTTCAGGTCTGTACTGGGCTATGATGGTCACGTTCTGACCGGCGTTCTTCAGAGCTGCGGCCGCCTGCTCATGTGTGGCGTATCTAAGGTCCACACCGTTAACCTGAAACCACAAACCAACAGATGAAGACATTGGACACACTGATCCAGAACCATCAGGACGGGGTCTCCATTACTGGTTCCCAGCATACGCTCTCTGCCAAGACCTGGTTTGGTTGAATTACAAGTGTCTCTGAATCCACCACACTGAGAACCAGATCTTTCTAAAGACCTGAGGCCTCACGCAGAGACGGCCTCACTGACTAGGACCTCTAGTTCAGCTTCATTTCTTTTTGTCTCTTGTTTATGACGAGTTCTTGTGCAAAGTGTGAAATCCAGTGACTATTTAAATATATTTGCATATTTCTATGGGGGCGTGGTGTGGTACTTCAGCATGTTTGATTTGGGTTACACTGGGATGTACAAACGAAACCTGCTTGGAATCATGTCTTCACACACTTTGACACATCTGATTTTTTGTGCATTCGCCAGTTTCTGGGTTTTAACGTACGACATTTTTCAGTAGGAAATCCACGCTCTGTGTTGATAGGAGAACCTGGTCCAGGAGACCCTGGTCTCTGTGATGACAGGAGAACCTGGTCCATGAGAACCTGGTCTCTGTGATGACAGGAGAACCTGGTCCAGGAGACCCTGGTCTCTGTGATGACAGGAGAACCTGGTCCAGGAGACCCTGGTCTCTGTGATGACAGGAGAACCTGGTCCAGGAGACCCTGGTCTCTGTGATGACAGGAGAACCTGGTCTCTGTGATGCCAGGAGAACCTGGTCCAGGGGAACCTGGTCTCTGTGATGCCAGGAGAACCTGGTCCATGAGAACCTGGTCTCTGTGATGCCAGGAGAACCTGGTCCATGAGAACCTGGTCTCTGTGATGACAGGAGAACCTGGTCTCTGCCACTTTC